CATGGTGACTGTACGAATACTTGATTGTAGTCACGCCATGTCTTTATTCTTGTCGGCGGTGGTACGGTACAGTGCGGTACTCCTGTGAGTGAGGCAATGTCAGGCTCCAGCACGTCTGGAGGCCGTCTTTGGGTTGCGAGGAAGCGCGTAGGTTTGAGGAAGCGTTTTGAGAGAGGTTTGAGAGACGTCCGTCGGGACGGAACGAAAGCTTTGGTGGTGTCTTGAGGTCAATTGAACCAGCTGCGGTCGGCAAGCATTCACAGTGACCAGACCAGGTGCACCGTTAGAATAGCTGTAGAGTCGCTCAATCCCGAGGATAGGGAAAGTCACAAGAGAGCAGAGCACACAGGAGAGCAAGGGGAAGACAGAATGGCAGGGGGCTTGACGTACCTGCGGTCGGCAAGCATTCACAGTGACCAGACCAGGTGCACCGTTAGAATAGCTGTAGAGTCGCTCAATCCCGAGGATAGGGAAAGTGCAACTCGTGCCCGACCGCAGGTGACACAACAAAGGGAAACAACAGTAGTCACAAGCTTATTGCCCCAGGGCAGCTGCCCAGGCATCGTGGGCACCGCGTCACCCGCGGTGTTTACTCATGTGACTGCCACGAGGAGGATCAAGCCCAGGGGGTCCAAATGTAGGTGTCAATGTGTGAGGTCGTCGCAGCTATGGAATACCAATAGGAAGACCCATAGCGACCGATGCTGAGTGTGTGCGAAAGCAGTGGGAGTGTTCAAATGCGTGGAAGCACGGATTTGACGCTAACAGGCAAGCAGCGTGGCCATTGGGGTTATTGTTGCCATGCTCCTTTTCTTTCCGAACAAAGTGTGCTACTGTAGTTTGCGTGCTTGTATGGTTGTTGGATGTACCATGCTACTGTAGACGGGATTGCGAACGCGTGTACGCTCGCTAAAAGAGAAACGACAAAACTGAACAGGGTGTGTCAGGCCTTCTTGTCAACACATCATGCACGCCGTAAATTGAATTTGATGCACCAACCCGGAAACGCAAATAGAAACAGACGAGACACCGGCTCAATTAATGTGCCAGTGCTTGCGCAATAGGCTCTTGTCTATATAGCGGGCTAAATCCCGCATGCTGGGCAGATACATCTCCACCAGCAGTTGATACACGTCGTCACCCAGGCTCTCATACGGCTTGCTGTCCGTCTTGCTCTTTACAGCTTGTAGCGAGACGTAACCACGGGCGTTGATTCGCGTCAACGGTGAATAATCAAAGAAAGGAAGCCCCAGCCATGTCTGAATATCATTGATGTGAGAGACCATATCCTTGGACATGGCCTCGTACAGGTTGAGGTGGATCTGATCGCGAGGATAATACTGCGTGATGACATCGAGCTGCTCAGCATAGAAGCCGCGCTCCAAGATGGCAAACGCCATGCTCTCGTTGTGCGAGATACGTGTGCCACGCGTCCCGTCCAGACGTGTCAGCAG